ATGGATTTAATCAGCATTGTTTTGAGAGGCAGGATCATTTACACTGATGGAGTTGTTTCAGTGCACATCAGTGTTGTAATTGTTTTTAGGGGTTTAAGGACCTCAATTACCTCCTCTGCCATTCTCACATCCTGGTCACTCAATGTATTCATGTTTTTGTTTTTCTTGAGGGCCTTTTCTGTCAATGCTGAGTAAACAGCAGCTTGCTGCTCAAGATACCGCTCCACCATGTCATAACTGGAGTTCCAGCGAGTGGGGACATCATGGATGAGTTTGTGTTTTGGCACATTGAGCATCTCCTGTTTGCACTGCAATATATGTGCAGCTGTTGTGCTATGGTGGAAGAAAGACACAACACTCCTGATTCTGCCTAGCAGCCTGAACACCTGGTTGATTCCTGTTGCTTTTTGTGCTGCTAAATTAATTGTGTAAGCAAAGCATCCAATTTGGGGGCCCAGTCCAGCTTCACTGATTGCATTGACAATGTTTCTAGCGTTATCTGTTGTGACTGGAATTGTGTTACCTGGCCTCTCCAACTTCCATTCTGACACTACCTCCTTCAGTACCTCTGCCAGATGTGTGCTTGTGTACTGTTCGTAAAGGGGGCGAGTTTGCAGGACGTGGCTTTGCATGTTCCAGTTGCAGTCGGGTGTAATGTAGTGCACCGTTACAGTTAAATAACTCTCGGTGGCCCTAGATGTCCACCCATCGGTCGTTAGAGCAATAGAAGATGCCTTGGATAGGTCGTGTACAACTGTCGTTTTTACTTTATTGTAAAGTGCTGGTATCACTTCCTGGCTGAAGTGCGGACGAGAGGGAACCTGGTAACGAGGCTCGACCACTCTCAACATGTGTTTGAACCCTATATTCTCCACAAACGGAATGTGATAGCTTTGGCTCAGTCGGAACTTTTTACGAGTGGTGGAGGCTTAAATGCTAGCGGGAGTTGGGTTTGCATTTCAGTAATTTTTCGTTTGGTACCGGTGATATTCACGTTCGGGTGATGCCTTTTCAGATGCGTGTGCATGTTTGTTGTATTGCCGGCCGCGTAACCAATGTATGTTGAACAATGCCGATAAACAGCTTTGGTTCAGTCCACCTGTCTTTGTCCGTCATCCTTGTACGTAACTGCGAAACCATAATGTTCCCAAACCGGAGACTTCAATGATGCTGGAGGATTTTCGAGCTCAACTTTATCTGCGTTCGCCATTTCGAGAGTTCCTCAAATTACTGACTAAATTTGAACGCATCCCTGTGACCAGCTCTCATAGTATGCCTCTCGTCCAATGAAATGACTTGGTCGCTCTATGACGCGTGGAACCCAATGTGAGGAAATTACTCTGAATGCTGCGACGCAGCACCTGAGATTACTTCCAAGAAGTTGTTCACGTTCTCAATCTTTTACGTTTAACGTTATATTCGTTCGGTACACTTCGGTACACTTCGGTACACATGTGTACCGAACCGAAGGGCCCGTACCGAATAATTTAGGTACGGGTACGTGTACCGTTACACCCCTAGTAAACACTGAAAAAGGGTCCCACAGACCCAAACAGCACACAAAGGTTAAAGGTCAGCATATAATAATGTTAAAATGTGCTAAATATATACACTGCAAAAAAACAAAAAAAAGAGGAATAAAAGTAGCTCACAACTTGTTTTATTTTTTTGAAAGTAGCTCTCATCTTAAAAAAGGTTGGAGACCCCTGTTCTAAAGTATGGACCTACAAGTTCATTCAAACATGCATGTGTATGTCTTCTTCATTTAGCTACACATTTGTAAATAAATGAAGACAACAAACAGCCAGTTCATAGTAGGAATTGGTTCCCAATGATTGGACAGAGAATTACAACTAAACCTTTCTTTTATTGTACTGTATGTGTTATAGTATGGAATGAGTTTAAGAATGGGGTATGGATATCATCTTCTACCACAGTGCATCTAATTGTATATGGTCAAACAAGTATTTAGTCAGCCACCAATTGTGCAAGTTCTCCCACTTAAAAAGATGAGAGAGGCCTGTAATTTTCATCCTAGGTACACTTCAACTATGAGAGACAGAATGGGGGGAAAGAATCCAGGAAATCACATTGTAAGATTTGTAATGAATGAATTGGTAAATTCCTCGGTAAAATAAGTATTTGGTCACCTACAAACAAACAAGATTTCTGGCTCTCACAGACCTGTAACTTCTTCTTTAAGAGCCTCCTCTGTCCTCCACTTGTTAACTGTATTAATGGCACTTGTTTGAACTTGTTATCAGTATAAAAGACACCTGTCCACAACCTCAAACAGTCACACTCCAAACTCCACTATGGCCAAGACCAAAGAGCTGTCAAAGGACACCAGAAACAAAATTGTAGACCTGCACCAGGCTGGGAAGACTGAATCTGCAATAGGTAAGCAGCTTGGTGTGAAGAACTCAACTGTGGGAGCAATTATTACAAAATGGAAGACATACTGAGAAAGAATGCTGAGTTGCATCCAAAGAACACCATACCTACTTTGAAACATGGGGGTGGAAACATCATGCTTTGGGGCTGTTTTCCTGCAAAGGGACCAGGACGACTGATCCGTGTAAAGGAAATAATGAATGGGGCCATGTATCGTGAGATTTTGAGTGACAACCTCCTTCCATCAGCAAGGGCATTGAAGATGAAACGTGGCTGGGTCTTTCAGCATGACAATGATCCCAAACACACCGCCCGGGCAACGAAGGAGTGGCTTCGTAAGAAGCATTTAAAGGTCCTGGAGTGGCCTAGCCAGTCTCCAGATCTCAACCCCATGGAAAATCTTTGGAGGGAGTTGAAAGTCCGTGTTGCCCAGCAACAGCCCCAAAACATCACTGCTCTAGAGGAGATCTGCATGGAGGAATGGGCCAAAATACCAGCAACAGTGTGTGAAAACCTTGTGAAGACTTACAGAAAACGTTTGACCTCTGTCATTGCCAACAAAGGGTATATAACAAAGTATTGAGATGAACTTTTGTTATTGACCAAATACTTATTTTCCACCATAATTTGCAAATACATTCTTTAAAAATCAGACAATGTGATTTTCTGGATTTTTTTTTTTTCTCATTTTGTCTCTCATAGTTGAGGTATACCTAGGATGAAAATTACAGGCCTCTCTCATCTTTTTAAGTGGGAGAACTTGCACAATTGGTGGCTGACTAAATACTTTTTTGCCCCACTGTATATTGTTATAACTTATGTCATTGTTTCTGAAAAATAAATGTAGGAACTGTCTGTAGATAAAACCACACAGTTTATATATCACAATACAACACATCCTAATGCATTCATTTTCTTTAGTCAAGAAGGGGTGTAAAATCACCATACAGACCATAAAGTTATTGTGTGAATGCTGTTATTGATATCTTATACAGATTTAGACTTTTAAGTTTTGGTACACTTTCAGGCCGTTTTAGATTTTATAATGGATGTCTATGGCAGGGACTCTTCAGGGCTAGAGTGCGTGACATCATCACTTAGAGTGTAGAGAGTCTTTAAAATCTTCCAAGAAAATATTTTAAAACGGCTCTCACACCCAAAATAAACCCTCTATTCAAATCATTTCTAAATATTTCAGGAGCAAAATTAGTCAGACCTGCTCGATTGCCTTCATCATATCAAAAGTCCACCAAGCTTCCCAATAGATGTTAAATCTGTCTAGATCTTTCTTCAGACAAGCAAGTCAGGTCAGATCCTCAATGCAATGAGATAATCCTCAATGCATTCTGAATGGGACACGCACACACACACACACACACACACACACACACACACACACACACACACACACGGCCCTTTCCCACTAAACCATTGTTCTTATGGAATAACCTCCCATATATGGACATCAGTCATCTCATTTGGTTTCGCTCCCCCTCTCACTCCCCCACACCCCTTCAATATAAATTAATAGCACTATATAGTTACTGTATCCTTACAGGTAGCGTAGGAATAGTATGTTTTTTCTGCAAATAATCGCCCTAGAATATCACTGTATGCAAACAATAAGCTCGGGATTTTTAGAATTACTACTACAGTTAAAATTACTACTAGAACTTATATTACTATGTACCTATTTTGGCACCAAACTTCTTTCAGTTACAGAAACCATTCAACTATTAAAATATTTGGCTATTTAAGGACAATATACATATAACCATATAACATATAATAATTTATATTATATATTGTTTTATATTAAGCTTTATCACGTTTTTTTTCTCCAAAATGTGCACAGCTTTCAGGATTCACACGCATTTTCAGCAGGAAATGCATTTTCTAGTTTTCTTCTTGGATTTGGACTCCCGTACAAACAATAGCAAGAGCCTCAAATATGACAACACTAGAGAACACAGACTCAGAACATGAAGAAAAAAGCCTGGATGTTTCAGTCAGTGTTTTGTTAGTGCTTTTGTTTTTCTGTTTAAAAACCAAACCAGGAGAACAAAAGATATCTTTGTGTTTTCGTTTTTTCGTAAAAAAAAAAGTATAACTGAAGAACAGGGAGAACAAAGGCATGGATTATTTTCACAGCTTGGGTTGCGACACGGCAAGATTCTGCTCTTGTTGAGATGATATTGTGATTAGTGTGCATACAGTATATTCTCTGACTGCAGCAGGGTCTGACAGTCCGTTGATGATTGATTGATTTTGGTTCTTTTAGCAGGGCTGGTCACATCAGCATTGAAGTATTTCTCATGTCACATAAGTGAGAGTGAATAGTGTGACACTTTGGTGTCTCATTTGTTGTTTTCAATTGGGTTTCAAATGAGAAATCGGAGAACAAACAATACTCCAATTATTTTCCTGCTGGATTTGGCCCTTTTTCATAAAAAAAACCTGACAAAATACTGTTCCATGCCTGCTCAAATCACATTACCTTTTGAAGCAGTCTGACAAGTGACTTCTTTGCGAGGCCACGTTAGAATAACAAGATCATGTGACAATGTCTAACGATGGAAACGGTTTCTCTCCTGTTGTGTCTACAGGCTTTCAAAGAGATGCTGTATGCTGCTCAGGACCAGGCCCCATCTATCGAAGGTACTAATTCCACACTCACACATTCATCCAAGTATGATTACAGTACTCAAAGACCCATATTGTTATAAAAACACATTATTCGATTGATGATCTCAGAATCTGATCTTTGTGTTTATTTTGAATGTGGCGTTGCTGTTTGTGTTGCAGAGTCCCATTAATTAACAAATGTATATGGCCACAGTTTCATAATGAACCAAAAATGCTTGTCCACTCAACTAGGGCTGAGCGATTAATCGATTTTAAATCGAAATCGATTAATGCAATTATCAAATCGCAAAGCCTGCGATTTTTTTCTTTTTTCTTCTTGTGTGTCAGTCATCCACACCAATCAGAAATGCTGTGCTCCACATGTACCAGTCATTGTTAACCAATCAGAAGTGGCCCATGATAGCAAGTGATAGAAAGATTGATCCAATCACCTGCCAAGTATTTTTGAAATACTTTTCCAAATGGCTTCCAATGGAGCTTTCCTAGATGGTTTGGTGAAAGCATCTGGGTCAGGTTAGTAATGCTCCATCACATGTTTCTATCACAGGGTGAATCTTAAACTGAAGCTTGACTTTAAAGCAACCCAACGGAAGTTTCATGTAAGTTTAGTTCTTTCACTTGTAGCTCGGGCTGCGGGGGTGCTAGAGAAGGGAGCACGTTGATGCGACCTTCCTAGCCGGAGCAATGGCCGCATTCTACAATAAACTTCCGTTGGGTCGCTTAAAAACAAATATCGCAAATCGAATCGCAATATCTGTCAGAAAATCGCAATTAGATTATTTCCCCAAATCGTGCAGCCCGTGCAGCCCTCCATGATGCTCTGTGACCGAAGTCCCAGAAAGGCCCAGAAAAAGTTCCTTCCTCTAGCCGTTAGAATTCCGCTGCTCCTTTCCCAATCTCCCATTGAACTCAAAAATGTACATAACTTTCTTTAGGGGGATCATGCTCTAGGACCCATATAGAGGTGCCCCCTCTTCCGTTTGATTAGCCAAGCTAACGTTGGTTAGGTTGGCCTTTTTTCTATACAAAATGATTGAACCAGCCAGTGTCTGGTTACTATTCCGCTATATTTAATAACAATTAAAAAGCTCTGCTGTGAAGTATATTATTGGCTTTTGTCATGTAGATCTTATTCAGAAAAAAAGAGCTGACCATAATGCTCTCTGTGGTGTTACCTCTGATCTGAATATAATCAATAATTAGAGTTTTCTTTGGGTTAGAGTTTATGGCAATCCTTTGTTATCACACTGCTGTACTAAAGACCTGTTCAAGACCCTGAAGGAGACACAGAAGCTTCTTTACTTTCACATGAACAGCCGTTCACTTGAGCCTTCAGCTGGCTGTCAAACATTCTAAAATAAATGACAACTTATACAAATTCATAAGACAGACAACACACAAATGTTTGGGAAACATATTTGACAAACAAAACAAACAGTTTGATTCAGTTTTTCATGGCAATTTAGCATTGATCATAAGAAATGTATAGTCAGTGAGGCGAGAGCATCTGTTTCAGTACTCCTCAAATGTTTTCTGTGTGATTTCATCAAAAAGGAGACAGGAAGCTGTGTGTGGACCCAGCTCCCCTCTGTCAGCCAGACGCAGACTGCAGGTGGTTTTGAGTCAGACTCTGCACACTCAGTGATTCACTGTTTCAGCTTTTAAACAAGACATCAAATTAACTCAGTTGGAGTGCCCCCCCCCCCCCCCCCCCCCCCTCCCTGGTGCAAAACAGCCAGCAGTCAGACTCCAGTAATCTCCTTATCCTTTCTCTGCCTTATTCTGCTCTTTTCTCTCTGTGACTGGGCTCATGTACCGTGATTATTATAATTATTATCATTATGACATGTCTGTTTTTCGGTAATAGGCTATACTTTCCATTTGACAATTGATGTTTTTTGGCTCCATTTTCCAGCAACACCCTGCTTTACTGTCACAGTTTCCCACATTAACACTGTGGAGGTGTGCCATCAGAACTCTGTATCGTGCTCAAAGGCACTTAAACAGTATTTAGAGCTTGTGAATAGCAAAACATGTCATTTAAAGGTAACCAAAAATACATGTTCTCTCTTACTTTGTCCTATCCAGCCATGCAAATGTCTTTCTCTGGGATGAATGCATCCACATCAATGCAATGCATTCACATTTCACATTCACATTCACATTTGGTTGTGTTGTTCAGAGCATTACAAATAAATACTTTGTTCTATATCGTATAGGCTTCGCCCTCTAATGCTGCGTTCACACCGGACGCAATGCGAATATTCGCTTCGCTCTTATCGCATCGCTCTAAACGCTCAAGTTTCACCGAGGCTGCCAGCTGTGTTTACTCGCGTCATTCAAACAAGACGCGCTGGCTCGGGAGCTAACTACAACAAAATGAACATATTTTACCGTGATTAAATTGTAATACACGTTTCAAAATGATGCCGAAGTAACAACATACTGATACTGGTTAGTAAAAACCATGAATTAATGCTTTGACAAGTCTGCAGGCGAAAAACCTTTTAAAATGCTTGTTATCTGAATGGAGATCGGGTCGACCAGGCTAAGCTAACGTTGTATATGCTCACTCCACACTCATAACAACGGCCTACAGACATAAATAAACCAGCGACTGTATTCACCATGACACAGACAGTCTGTGGTTTGTACTTGTTTAGCTTTTGTCCAGTTTCTGAACAGATATGAGGAGCTGTGAGCTCTGAGTGCTAATTGCTAATAGCTAACGGCTGATGTTTTCTGGTTGAACGTCAGTGACGGCAGGCTGAGATCCTCACCGCTGATTGGCTACCGCGAGATCGCGTCACGCGAATATGACGCTTGAGTTGAAAAAATTGAACTCGAGCGTTTGTCGCTGCCCCCTTCAATCGCCTCAATCGCGCCGCAGAATTTGCATCCACCGCTTCATGCTCGCCGTCGGAGCCAATTCGCTTCTGTCCGCGTCTCTGCATTGACTTTAGATGTAATCGCGCCGCCCCCAAATATCGCATCGCGTCCGGTGTGAACGCAGTTTTAGGCTATCGCTATTGGGTAATCCCACTGCGCATGCGCAGCACTGACAGACTTAATCCACGCCCATCTATGATGTGGGCCCCACCTACGGACTCACTTCCGTATAAATAGGAAGGAGGCCCGACAATCTGCTCCCATTTTTCTTCAGCAGTCCGTTGCAGAAGCACTGTCAGGCACAAGCTCTTTTCAGAGCCGCAAGCTAAAAAGCAAAGATTCCTCTTCTAAAAAGCTTTTGTTCCAATTATTAAGATGCCAAACAGGATACATTATGAGTTACGACCGGCGCTCACGGTGTGAGTCCTGCCTGGTATGGAGCCAGAATTGGGTCAATATTGTAGCGCGCAAAACAAGCTACTCACGAGCGAAAAATGTGCTTTTACACGAGCATAAAATGACCCTGGCGCGCAGATTAAACCCCCGCGAGCGGCTGTCACTACCCGATCTGCAGCCCTGCCCGATCTGCAGTGCACATGTGCGAGATGGTCCGCCATATTGCACAACCCTGTACGGCAACCCAAGTAGGACACTTGACACAGTGGCTTTTGGCAAAGCTCAAAAAGAAGTGAGAAATGGATTTAACTTCTGTTAGACAGCTATCATACTGAATAAATATTTACTGTGAATGTATGCAAAAATGTATGGCATATAGCTGTCTAACAGAAGTTACATTCATTTCTCACTTATTCTGACAAAATAATAGTGAAGTCACATTGTAATAACAATAACTCATCTCTCTCGAGTTTTCTTTTTGAGCTTTGCCAAAAGCCACTGTGTCAAGTGTCCTACTTGGGTTGCCATACGAAGTTGTCCAATATGGCGGACCATCTCGCACATGCGCACTGCAGATCGGGCAGGGCGGCATATCGGGTAGTGACAGCGGCTATGCGAGAGACAGCCCTCTTGCTTGCTCGCGGGAGTGTCAGCCTCACTCGCTCGCAGAGTCTGTCTGGGTGCGCGTGAAAAGTTTCTGACACTTTGGGGCGGAGCCACTGGACTTTGATTGACAGCTGCCAGGAAGCCCGGAGTTGCCAGGTTTGATCATTGCCTGAACTACCAAGAGCCGAGGAGTGACAGCAGCAAGATTAATTGGACGAGATTTATTGGTGAAGTTGTCCATAAAAAACTATTATATTCGTAAAGTGTACAGCTAATATATATATATATATCAATTCATTTGATATAAAACAATATATTTTTGAGTGGGCTGTATCTGTCGAAATCTGCTAGCTACTGTCTGCTGTAAGCACCTACAATAGGTTGGAAACATGAAGGTCCAGTGTTAACATGTAGAAAACAAGTTAACCTAGAGGCCTTTTATGATAACGTTTTGGTATAATTGGCCATTTTTATTTTCAATATTCAATGAATGATGCTTAGTGAGGTTCAAGGTTCAAGGCTTTTATTAGTCATACGTACAAAGCTGCAGTGTAGTTATGACGATGAAAATCTTAGGTCACAGGCTCCTCCAACAGTGCAACACAATAAAACAGAAAAAATGGTGCAAGTAAATACAAAAAGAAAAATAGTTCAAAATAGTGCAATAAGAGTCTATATGCAAGTGATTGAATATGATATATTAGATAAATAATTTCTAAGATTAATGTTGTGGATATTCTTTCAACAGTTCAGGTGTTTAACAGTCTTATAGCCTGTGGGATGAAACTGTCTCTGAATCTGGTGGTTTTAGTCCTGATGCTGCGGTAACGCCTGCCAGACGGCAGCAGACTGAACAGTTTGTGGCTGGGGTGATGGGGGTCTTTTATAAACCTGAGGGCTTTCTTCCTGAGCCGCTGGGAGTAGAGGCCTCCATGGATGGCAGCTCCGTCCTGGTGATGTTCTGTGCAGTTTTCACCACCCTCTGTAAAGTCTTACGATTGAGGGCGGTGCAGCTGCCGTACCAGGCCGTGATGCAGCCAGTCAGGATACTCTCTATGGTGCACCTGTAGAAGGTCAGGATCCTCTCTATGGTGCATCTGTAGAAGGTCAGGATCCTCTCTATGGAGCACCTGTAGAAGGTCAGGATCCTCTCTATGGTGCACCTGTAGAAGGTCAGGATCCTCTCTATGGTGCACCTGTAGAAGGTCAGGATGCTCTCTATGGTGCACCTGTAGAAGGTCAGGATCCTCTCTATGGAGCACCTGTAGAAGGTCAGGATGCTCTCTATGGTGCACCTGTAGAAGGTCAGGATGCTCTCTATGGTGCACCTGTAGAAGGTCAGGATGCTCTCTATGGTGCACCTGTAGAAGGTCAGGATCCTCTCTATGGTGCACCTGTAGAAGGTCAGGATCCTCTCTATGGTGCACCTGTAGAAGGTCAGGATCCTCTCTATGGAGCACCTGTAGAAGGTCAGGATGCTCTCTATGGTGCACCTGTAGAAGTTCAGGATCCTCTCTATGGTGCACCTGTAGAAGGTCAGGATGCTCTCTATGGTGCACCTGTAGAAGGTCAGGATCCTCTCTATGGTGCACCTGTAGAAGGTCAGGATCCTCTCTATGGAGCACCTGTAGAAGGTCAGGATCCTCTCTATGGAGCACCTGTAGTAGGTCAGGATGCTCTCTATGGAGCACCTGTAGAAGGTCAGGATGCTCTCTATGGTGCACCTGTAGAAGGTCAGGATGCTCTCTATGGTGCACCTGTAGAAGGTCAGGATCCTCTCTATGGAGCACCTGTAGAAGGTCAGGATGCTCTCTATGGAGCACCTGTAGAAGGTCAGGATCCTCTCTATGGTGCACCTGTAGAAGGTCAGGATCCTCTCTATGGTGCACCTGTAGAAGGTCAGGATCCTCTCTATGGAGCACCTGTAGAAGGTCAGGATCCTCTCTATGGAGCACCTGTAGTAGGTCAGGATGCTCTCTATGGAGCACCTGTAGAAGGTCAGGATCCTCTCTATGGAGCACCTGTAGAAGGTCAGGATCCTCTCTATGGTGCACCTGTAGAAGGTCAGGATCCTCTCTATGGTGCACCTGTAGTAGGTCAGGATGCTCTCTATGGTGCACCTGTATGAGGTCAGGATCCTCTCTATGTACCTGAGGACATGCAAATATGTTTGTTGTCAACTACAAAGACAACCAATGATTTTAAAAGCAGATTGTCGGGCCTCCTTCCTATTTATACGGAAATGAGTCCATAGGTGGGCCCACGTCATAGGTGGCGTGGATTTAGTGTGTCAGTGCTGCGCATGCGCAGTGGGATTACCCAATAGTGATAGCCTTAGAGGGCTGCGCCTATACTCATAGAAGCTGGGTTACAATATGTAACCCCAGTTTCTCTCTCTCATTCTCTTTCCGGTGTCCAAATTACTGTGGATAATATATGTCTGTTTATACTGAGGGCAGTAACTATTGGATTATTTTAAATCACATTCCAAATCAGAATAAGAGAATGGAGTAGGGAAAACTGTGAATCACTGCAACATGTGACTATAGAGATCTGTATATAACAGAGCCATTTAAGAATAGGCTCAGACAAATCAGGCATGCTGCAAATGAGTCAGTCTGTGAGCCATACCACAATGTCTTTGTCACTGCACGTTATATGGACACATCCATGTTTTAAGTTCATGTATTTACATGCTGAGATGAATGCCACTAAAATCAGGTGATAATCACAGCAAGTTAATTCATTCTGAAGGATTACTACATTTAAACTACACATGTCAACATCATGGGAGAGAAACATCAGGGCATTACCAGACTCAGAAGACTTCTTTAGTAGAAGAATATACATTTTTGTAAATAAATCCCTTGGCAATGCATCTAATAGTTATTACGCTATTTCAGTGTGGTCCAAAGTGGCTGATCCCTAGCTAAAATTAGGGAGGTGAACAAAAGAACAGCACTATAACCAAGGCTTGTCGTTCTATCTGTATCTTCAGGCCAGGGGAGAGGTGCAGATGGATGATGTGAGCTGAGGTAGCAACATTGTAGCACTTCCATTCACCATGCACCATGCATTCCATTCACCATGCACCATGCATTCCATGCAGAATATTTGAGAATCATCTAACAAGGTGTGGCATGCAATAAACGTACACATGTTGTTGCAAAGCTTAAATAAAACCTTTTTAGGTTGAAAAGAATCCAGAAGGGTGTGCTCTGCTGCTCCCTCTGCTCGGAGCAGCCCATTGCAGGCCTCTGCACGGAGCTTTCAGAATCAGATTGAGAAACAGAGTACATGTATTCGTCCCACAGAGGGGACATCTCCATTGTTACAGCACAACACACTGGCTCTTAAATTGCATTTGTTTTGTGCCCTCCTCTTCATCATTAATTCCATTCAGGTCCATTAAGGTGATTGATAGTCTTCACTGTGGTTTTGAAGGTTCACTAATCTTACCTCTGATATCTTCTTACAGTCACAGATGAGGATACAGTTAAAAGGTACTATGCCAAGTTTGAGGAGAAGTTCTTCCAGACGTGTGAAAAAGAGTTGGCCAAGATCAACACCTTCTACTCTGGTAATGACTACAACTACTACCACTGCTCCATACACACACTCATTTCAATAAACCTCTGAGAGTTTGTTGTGATTATTATCCTGCACATCATTTCTACACTTAAAATCCTTTTTCTTGTATTCTTCTCCTCCCTCCAGAAAAGCTTGCTGAGGCCCAGCGGCGGTTTGCCACGCTGCAGAACGAGCTGCAGTCATCGCTGGATGCTCAGAGGGAGAGCTGGGCCAACGGGCGGGGGCTGAGGAAGAGGAAGACGGTGTTCGCCCTGTCGCAGCAGGAGCGCTGCAAACACAGGAACATAAAGGACCTGCAGCTGGCCTTCTCCGAGTTTTACCTCAGCCTCATTCTGCTGCAGAACTATCAGGTACGCTCTCACACTAGAACACAAAGCGTGATCCAACACTCAGTCCTTCTCTACACCTCATTTATTTTCTCTTGATTTGATATTATTAGAGTTTCACATCTTCAATCAGCCGCTTTGACAGCTTTGATTGTTCTTTCATTAAAAGTGCTCTCTCCCTGCTTGTCTCTGCAGAACCTGAACTTCACAGGTTTCAGGAAGATCCTGAAGAAGCATGATAAGATTTTGGAGACTTCCAGAGGGGCCGACTGGAGGGTAGTCCATGTTGAAGTGGCTCCATTTTACACATGCAAGAAAATCACACAGCTCATCTCTGAGACTGAGGTATACACACACACACACACACACACACACACACACACACACACACACACACACACACACACACACACACACACACACACACACACACACACACACTGGGGATGTGCATCTCCATCACTGAGGCCATGTGATGCGCATCTCGATACGTTGCCAACGATACGATACATTAACGATACATTTGAAGCACCAGGCGATGCGATACGATACGATTCACCCCTGCTGCGATATAGTTCGATACGATTTGATTCAACATTATGCGATTCGGGGCGATACAATCATAAATTAACAAGAAAGTGCTTCACATAATTGGTTCTCTCTACTAGTACTGTGCATCCCATCATGCTGTTTCTTTTTGACCTTAAATAAAAAAACACTTGGACTTTTCACAAGCTGGCCTTTTCACAAGGGTAGTAGTGTTCTCTGTCTCCAGAGTACAGTTCAATGTTATAACACCTCACAGTTAAACAATGTAAGGATGCATTGCCGGATTAACAATGTGCAAATAACAGCTACCATAGTGCCATGCCCATACAGCTGCTGACTGATGTGCTCAACACTCATCCATAGGCTAACTCACCAGTGAGCAGAAAGCACTGGTTTCTATAGGAACAATAAAGAATACAAAGAACCTTTCACAAACAGCTCTTTCATAACTGCTTACAGTGAGGAAGACATTTCAACTGTTATTGGCCGTCCCAGGCTGCTGTAAACTAAACACCACTCTCTCTGACAGAACAGCTCTCTGAGTGATTTCACTCATAGTCTAACTTTCAGGTTTCTCTTTTCAGACGCAGACCCCATGTCGCCTCTTTATGTGCGTCGCTAACTTCCTCGTACTACTTGTGTACTTTAAAGCGGCTCGGCATCGTTTACAATTTGCGAGCGATTTTTTCAAGTTGTCCGTCTTTCTTGAAAAATCCGAAGTGTTGCCAGACGTTTGATTTGAAGGTATTTTTCGGTGCGCTGTGTTTCTATTTCTCCTCGACTTCCATGTGTGTTGATAACTGAGACTCTCGGCCTCCGTAGTACGAAGCAAAGATCGTCTCTGCTGAGTGCTGACAGGATGAGAGGATATTATATGAATGAATCGTTTTTGCAAAGACGCTACAATCGATGCATCATGAGTTCAACCCAAACTGTAGCCGATGTGCACTCTTTCAACCGGTGCACTCGCATCTTGAATGTTTATGCAGATGAATCGGTGAATCTTAACATCCCTAACACACACACTCACACACACACTTTTAATTTGCATATGCTTCATTAGTATTGATGTGCATACAGCAAGAAGAGTTTTCTTAAAGGTTCCCTATTATACTGTTTTTCATCAATATATTACAGGTCTCAGATATATACAGAACATGTCTCTGAAGTGTTTGGCTCCAAACACCAAACAGATCATTGCAGCATTACCCATAATCCCCTCTGTTTCAGCCCTGTTTCCAAAGTGCTGATTCTCTGTCTGTTACTTTAGATGAAAATAAGGAGCCCCTCCCCACGCCCCTCTGAGAGACATTTGGTTACAAAGAACTCAATGGTGCTCTAGGAGGAGATTCAGGTGATAAGGTGGGGGGGGGTTTACCTTGGTTGCTGATTGGCTAATGGTTACACAAGACAACACATCGTTATGACATCATAAAGTTTCCAAAATCTGATCAGCTCATTTTCAGACAGGTTTTTATAGAAATGGATCAAAAAGAGAGAATCTTTTGTTCTTGATATGAATTAATATTATAAAGGCAAAACAGAACTGATAAACGGACAATCTACTCTTTCCACAAAATAATCCCCACGAAAGTGTATTTACAGTACTACTGTCACAAAATAAACAAAGGCAGGTTTTATACGTTATTCAATTATATTGACATTTTTCCAGCCAAGCAAAACACAAACAAAACTCAACAAAAAGTCCGCTCGGCGATAAACCAAAATGGTCTTTACTGCCTAATCCAGGCCACCATAGTTCATTGACAAAAAAGCTGTTGCTCCTGCGCCCGTCGGCAGCAAAACACGGAAATGTTTGTCGGCCTATTTAGGCCATAATCCACAAAAAAGGAAAACACGATGATCGGCGTGGCACAAAGGAGCGATCTCTCCAGAGAATCTCTCTCTCTATCTGTGTGCGTCCTCTCCACGGAGACGTGCTTCCAGGTCGGTCGATGCAATATCCACAATCAGTTACTTTCAGTTACTTCCCCGTTGCATTTACCTTTGTATACATACTGAGGAAACTTAAAGGGGACTGTAGGAGCCAAAATGCTTGTTTTTGCCTTACTTATTATTTGTATTATTATCTTGTATTTCTGTTTGCATCGCGTTTAATTCTTATTGTTTATCACTTCTGGCAATGGTCACGTGGGTGTGGTTTATTGGTATGTAGTCACCTGTTGGATGCCGGTTGGGAGGATATGATGTAGGAAGAGGGTGAATTTGCTCCGATACTTTCTGTTGACCGTCAGGTCTGGAGTTGTATATTGTTTGTTTTCGTCTTTATTAAACACCATGGACTACAAATGACTACGGACTCTTACATGGAACGCGTCACAGCAAAGAGCATTTTTTAGCCTCTCAGCAGCTAACTCATAGGGAGTTATTGCCGCTACAGGGACCTATCATGCAAAATGTACGTCTTTTATACATGAATATGTGTCCCCGGTGTGTCAGAGAACTCATCAAGTGTCAGAAAACACAACCCTCTCTATTTTCCTCCATACCCAAATCTCTGAAAAAGGGACTGCAACGGATCTGATACAGACTGATCCAGATTTGAATTATTTTCTACGTCACAAAAGGGGTGCTCCGCTTAGTGGTCAATTCTCCACCTATCGGGAATGAGAGGTTGGGCCACGGCCGGCCATTGCTGCTCGAAAGCGCTGGAGACGCTGTAGTACATATGCCAGGCCTTTAAGTGGCGCTGTAGTCTGCCACAAAAGCAGCGAAGAAGACTTCCCTTGCATGGTTGCCATGGTTGCCCTTCTGTTTATTCTCCGCTGTGGCTCTTTTTCTCCCTCCCCGAGGCAAGCGTTTGCGCCTCCTGCTTTAAAACAAATGAATAATGACTCTATATAATCATATGTAAGGGATAATGTGCAGCGACGCGGTCATTATGGGGAAAAGAACACCGACAGCTGATCAGGAGCCCGACGCGAAGCGGAGGGATCTAGATCGGCATGAAGGTGTTATTGATTTAAAAAATAGTTGTATTGATTTAAATTGACATGCATCCGCTAATGTCTCTAATGGCTTCATCGGTCTGTGACCTTCAGCACTCACTGGATCGGTTCGCAACCGAGTGTGAAGCGGCTGGGATGAGGATCAGCACCTCCAAATCTGAGGCCATGGTTCTCAGCAGGAAACCGATGGACTGTCCACTCCAAGTAGGGAATGAGTCCTTACCCCAAGTGAAGGAGTTCAAGTATCTCGGGGTCTTGTTCTCGAGTGAGGGAACAATGGAGCGTGAGATGGGCCGGAGAATCGGAGCAGCGGGAGCGGTACTGCAGTCGCTTTACCGCACCGTTGTGACGAAAAGGGAGCTGAGCCAGAAGGCAAAGCTCTCTGTCTACCGGGCCATTTTTGTTCCTACCCTCACCTATGGTCATGAAGGATGGGTCATGACCGAAAGAACGAGATCGCGGATACAAACGGCCGAGATGGGTTTTCTCCGCAGGGTGGCTGGTGTCTCCCTTAGGGATAAGGTGAGAAGTTCGGTCATCAGGGAGGGACTCGGAGTTGAGCCGCTCCTCCTTCGCGTCGAAAGGAGCCAGTTGAGGTGGTTCGGGCACCTAGTTAGGATGCCACCTGGGCGCCTCCCTAGGGAGGTGTTCCAGGCACGTCCAGCTGGGAAGAGACCAAGGGGTAGACCTAGGACCAGGTGGAGGGATTATATCTCTTCGCTGGCCTGGGAGCGCCTTGGGATCCCCCAGTCAGAGCTGGTTGATGTCGCCAGGGAAAAGAAAGTTTGGGGCTCTCTGCTGGAACTGCTACCCCCGCGACCCGACCACGGATAAGCGGGAGAAGATGGATGGATGGATGCATCCGCTAAGAAAAATAGTTTGTTACCGTTTGAACTAACGTAGCAACAGTGTTTTTGAGGAGCTTTTTGATTACAGATTTGAAAACATCGTTGCTTTAAAAGTAGCACAATTCATTATGTCAAACCTTGGGAAGTATCTAGATATCCCTGCCCTAATAACAAAGGAACTGGCAACTGAATATGTGTCGCCGTTTGATGTCTATGTCTGGACCGCTGCGTAAAAAGGAGGGTTTCTGCCCCATTACTTCTCTTCTTACTTCTATAAGAATAAAACACGGAGGACGGAGATCTCTTTTTCTAGCAGCTGATCTCAAAGCACGCTCCCCTCTCCTGCAGGGGGGCGTGGTCAGCTGCAGCTCACAGAATCAGCTCCCTGCAAAAACAGCGCTGGAAAGAGCAAATAGAGCGAAATGAGGCATGGCTAAAAACTATATTTATATACTTTATATAGGTATGGCCCTACAATATATTGTTCAAATATAGCATATGTCGTCCCCTTTAAATATCTCCCTGAATACCCGCATTCGCCACACACACACACACACTTCCTCCTCCCGTGAGAACCAGCCCCTGGCGTCCCGGTGACGCGCCCACTCAAAAGCCTCTGGGCGCGCCGCGACAGGTGAATATGTAGATGAGGCTTGCAGACCCACACCCTCAAACCGTACATAACAGTGGACATTAACAACTGCAGTTGTGAGGATAATATACATGTGTCATAGTTCATTTCATTTCATGATAAACAACATGCCTTAACCCTTTTCCCCTGCCATTACAGTTTAGAAGAAACAACTTGAATCAATGTGTGGCCATCACAACATGTTTATGTAGAAAAGACATGAGAGCTAGGACACATCAACATCCTCTCTGTGTTTCAGGCATTGGTCACAACAGAGTTGGAAGGCGGTGACAGGCAGAGGGCCATGAAGAGACTGAGGGTCCCCCCCCTGGGAGCTGCACAGGTCTGACACACACACACACACACACAGTATCAACTCATAGGTAGGGTTGGGTATCGTTTGTATTTCCACGATTCCGATTCTACTTTTCGAATCCGGTTCTTAACGGTTCTCAATTCCGATTCTTTGAGGGGCAGGGTAAAAAAAGTATACATGCTTCTTCCACCAAAAAAATTACATTTATTCGAGAAACTTTTACACAGGTTAGTTTACAGTAATATTCACATGAATCAGTCTGTTTATATTCACTGCTATGTAACCTGAGAACCACTGAAGCTACAACAGTGCAACAGTCCAACTTTTAAAGGACCCCCCCCCCCATTTCAAAACAGTTCTTGTTGAGAAAAACAAGCCTATCTGCCTTCTCAGGCATACCGGGAAGAAATGTTTGAACATTTTAAAGTAAAATGCTTCAATCTGGTGCACTTTAAGCAGAATGACTAGAGACTAGATCTAGGGGGTACAACTCTAAACACCCATATGAAAAAGATCGGTTTACATTTTAATAATTAAATAAATATGTGAACATAACCAATAACCTACCATAGCCAATAGAAAATACATGTAACATATTTTATGTTTGTGTTTCATTCATATCTTATTTTACTATTTTATTTATGCATATGTTTTTTTATCTCCAGTTTAAAACGATATGTCTGGTTTACTGTCCTATAGTATACATTGGAATGATTTCAAACCTGTTTTATCCCAATAATTATAAAGGAGTGCCTTGGAAATATGTGTTTACATGAATTGTGATCAAACCGTTTGAGACCCACTGAGATAACTTAGACTCCACAGATCTGGCGCCCGAGGCGAACATCTATAACGCCAGTGCGACGGGCCGGCCCTGGTCTCAGGTTACGCTGTAGGAAGTGTAGGTACAATTTCCCGCCCCGCCGCAGTCATACAGTAGGCTACGGAGAGCGGCGAGAAACATTTCCTCAGGCATCGAAAAGCGGAACCAAAATTCACATGTCTAAATGATGACGTTGGAATCGAAATGTTGGAACCGGTTCCCATTCGGAACCGGTTCTCGGTACCCAACCCTACTCATAGCTTCTGCTCACTAACTCGTCATCCTCTGCATTCACATGCTCCTGTTGTCCTGTTTTAGTCAAATAAAGCAACTTTTAGCAGTGACCCTTAAATGGATATGTGTTGTCCCAAAAGTTAAACACAATCTACAGTTAGATTTTTTGATCTGATCCTTTTGAATGTTGATGCTACTTCAGAATGGATTTCTAACAAAAAACTACTCTCTCTTTTATTTGACCCAAAAACAAACATACAAGTCTAACCTTTACATCTCTCAACTTACACTGCAATTGTACTGTATATAATCATGATACAATATGCTAAGAGGACACCTGTAGTGGTCTCCCCACTGATAGACAGCATTATGCCTGTAAAGTGATGTTATTTAATGATCACATGTATGTATAATGCTGTCAAATGTGCTCAGAGTGTTGTGGTGTCCCCTCAGCCGGCTCCTGCCTGGACCACCTTCAGAGTGGGGCTGTACTGTGGAGTGTTCCTGGTGCTGATGGTCACAGTGGTCATTACAGGTACTCCTCAAGCACAAGTCCTCCCTCCCTCCCTTCATTCCCTCCCTCCCTCCCTTCCCTCCTTCTTTGCTTCCTTCCCTCCTCCTTGCCTTTGTTACTTCTTTGCTTCCTTCCCTCCTTATTTCCTACCTATCTTCCCCCTTCCCTCCTGCATTCTTCCCTCCTGCCTTCTTTCATTCCTTCTCTCCTTATATCCTTCTGTCCTTCCTTTTTTCCTTCCTTGCATCGATCTTTCCTCTTTCCTTTCTTCCTTCCTTCCTTTCCTCTCCTCTTTCCTTCCTTCCCTCCATCTTTCCTCTCTCCTTCCTTCCTTGGAAATAACCACACTATATTAGTTTTTCATGACTTATATGTTAAGGGTTTTTATTTTGTACTCTCAACTTGTTGCATTCAAATTGATGGCTTTTGTAAATAACTAACCTCAAACTGTTTGCCACAGCAACATGATATGTGGAAATAGGGCTGGGAGATGTGATGACAAACAAAACGTTTATATAAGGAGAATTTCTCAAATCATGTTTACTGTCATTTATCATGAAACCAGGAATAGACCACATTTGTGATATAACTATTTTTCAAATCTAAGACAATATCTCGTCTCATATCACAATATTGATATTATAAGGTGATGGTCCCCAGCCCTATGTGGAAACAGCATGGCCTGCTTTAAAATGGGACATTATCTAAAGATAATATTTGGAAAAATAGTCACAACAGTTTTTTGAATGTTTAAAACTAGTTCTACACATGGTTGGTAAAGTGATGTGCTTTTCTCTCACAAGGGGCTGTGGTGATCCGCACGGCTGATGTTTGGCCTATGATCAGGATCTACAGAGGAGGCTTCCTGTTGATAGAATTCCTCTTCCTGTTAGGTATTCACACACATACACACAAAGAAATTATACAATTAAATCCAGGCAAGTTTCTGTATATTAAAGCAGTTTATAATAATAATAATAATAATATTTTATTGTGTAAAGCACTACACATGTTTGTATATAAAGTAGCCAATTGTGCAAATAAAGAGACACAGTTAGCAGACGTTAGCAGCTGGATTTGTACACCAGAGGCCTGTACTACGAATCCAGTTCAACATACCCTGGATATGTTTGAGTTACCTGGCTTACCTAATCCAAAACAAACGCTCTCTCGCTAAGCGGTCCTGCGACGCTGGTTATCAACTTGGTAACTCAAGCCCGGTGTGCCCTATCTAGTTAGGTGCGCGTTCACATGAAAGGGGCGGGGTTAGCAACATTTGACCAATCACAAACATGGAGAAGCGTACTGACAGCGCAGCGTCATACTTCCTGAATGAAAAGTGAACTATAATATTAGACATATGAAGAAGTTAAACTTTAAACATCCATGACTTAAACACTTTATCCAGGATCAAAGCCACAGAGCTGCACCTGCAAGGTGAATACAGCTGGGAACAGAACAAGTGTTTGAATGCGTACATTAACAGGTTTATGATATCACTGCCCCGTCTAAAACACGATCTGACTTTAATTACATTTGACTCCAGTGTTATCGTAAAATAATACTTCTGCATACAGTATGTGACACTGAGTGTTGCACGGCCAGATACGGCTCAGCTGACTCAGATAAGGAGATATATGATACATTATGATGTGATATGAATGATAATGGGACACATCGACGTCTGTACTCACAGTGCCGCGGACTGTAGGCTACGTAATGTTACTTTGATCCGGTTACTTGTGTTGTGACAGATATTTAAGTAAGCTTTCTTAACGCTAATGTTATAATAGTCAGATTGCTCTGAAGATGGGAGGTGATTCATTTTCACGTTCACACAGTCAGTTGATTTTTGCCGGCCGTCTTTCTGTATTTCCTTTCTCCTGTAATATGACTTGATCGCTTTAAACTCTGCACACTGAGCTCTGATTGGTCAGCAGGCGGTGCTTTCACTGAGTTGAGCTCTTAGCCTGCAACCTAACCTGCTCCGGGGCAGGTTAGCCGTTCAGCATAAGTTACCATGGAGATCTAGCCCGCTAAAAAGAGAACCAGCGTCGTAGGACCGGAAACCCGGAGTTTTCCCTGAAGTTAGCCGCTAAGAGAACATCCAGCTTCGTAGTACAGGCCTCAGGTCATGATTATAGCAAATTCATTAAAAACATAAGTAAAATCCAGAAGAAATGTCATTGATGAATCTTAGGACAGCTTCTTACGAGGCACTACATAAACATGAAGAAAGCTTGATCGCACATTTGATCATCTTAAATAAGTACGACTCATGGTTACAAGGGGAAGAGTTACATTTGCTGAGACCTGACTGGGTCTGTGATTATTCCAATGTGCCAGGCCTCTTTTAAACATCATTGATGCCGGAAATACTTACAGAGAATACACCGGTATATCCTCCTCCATCCTCATTACCGCTCCTCCAGATGCACTTTAGGAATCTGATGTCCTTCAGATTGTGGGCTGAGTTTGATTTCCGTCTCACAAGCTACCAGCTAAGGAGTCGAGGAGGCAACAAATTGAGAATTGAGAAAAGCCTAAGGCCTAAAGAAGGAAGCTGTGTCTATCCTATTAATGCATGAGCCACTGTTCTGCTCTTTCAGGCATCAACACCTACGGCTGGAGGCAGGCAGGAGTTAACCATGTGCTCATATTTGAACTCAACCCCCGAAACAACCTGTCACACCAACATCTGTTTGAGGTCCGAGCAAATAATATTTCTGTCCAACAATCACAACACTACCGAATTATTTGGAAAAATATGATTTTTTTTAATGCTGATAGTGTGTGTGTGTGTGTGTGTGTGTGTGTGTGTGTGTGTGTGTGTGTGTGTGTGTGTGTGTGTGTGTGTGTGTGTGTGTGGTGTGTGTGTGTGTGTGTGTGTGTGTGTGTGTGTGTGTGTGTGTGTGTGTGTGTGTGTGTGTGTGTGTGTGTGTGTGTGTGTGTGTGTGTGTGTGTGTGTGTGTGTGTGTGTGTGTGTGTGTGTGTGGTGTGTGTGTGTGTGTGTGTGTGTGTGTGTGTGTGTGTGTGTGTGTGTGTGTGTGTGTGTGTGTGTGTGTGTGTGTGTGTGTGTGTGTGTGTGTGTGTGTGTGTGTGTGTGTGTGTGTGTGTGTGTGTGTGTGTGTGTGTGTGTAGATTGCAGGTCTGCTGGGGGTGCTGTGGTGTGTGAGCCTGCTGTCCTGCCTCTTCAGTGATAGCATCCTGGTACCAATGCAGGCTAACCCTCTCGCTCTCTACGGCCTCTTCTTCCTCTTCCTCATCAACCCCTTCAAGACCTGCTACTACAAGTCACGCTTCTGGCTCCTAAAACTCTTGGTACAGTACTCAATTACATTTTACAAAAATCCGTTTTTTTTCTCACCATTGTTCATCTTTGTGTAACTGTAAAGTGTAATCGATGCAGAAAATGATATTGTTTTCAGGGTTTGAGAGAGAGTACTGATCGTGTAAATAGCCTAAAATATTCAGTTTACCATTTGATGCAATCTGTGCCTCCTTTTTATTTCTTATTTGACATTAAGCATTCTGCAGCTCCTAATCTATGAACATGAAGCAGCAGATTTAAACCATATACCTACATTGCATTTAATTTCAATTCAATTGTTCGGCAGTGGCTCAGTCAGTAGGGACTTGGACTGTGTGCCGTAGGGTCGTCGGTTCAAGTCCCCGACCAGACCTAAATATGGAGTGTGGACTGCTACTTGGAGAGGTCCCAGTTCACCTCCTGGGCCCTGCCGTGGTGCCCTTGAGCAAGGCACCGGACAACCCCCCCATCCCCCCCCACTCCCATTGCTCCCCGGACACTGTACAATAGCTGCCCACTGCTCCTGGTGCTAGGATGGGTTAAATGCAGAGGCCAAATGTCACTGTGTGTGCTGTGCATGTGTGACCATTAAAGAGGGTTTCATCCCTCCGATTCTATCTATCCAGTATGATTGTGAAGGAAACTGCTAATATCTCTTCTCTGTCCTCTGTCTCCCCTCCACAGTTTCGAGTGGTGACTGCTCCCTTCCATCATGTTGGCTTTGCAGACTTCTGGCTGGCGGACCAGCTGAACTCTCTGGGTGTCGTTCTGATGGACCTGGAGTATATGATCTGTTTCTACAGCTTTGAACTAGACTGGAAAAAACATGATGGACTCATCAGCAGCGAGGGTGAGAGTGAACAGTGAAAGGTTGGCAGCCGGATCCAATGACGATGGACCTACACCTATTCCTGACCACATGTCTGTGTCCCCTCTCCTGCAGGTAGAGATGTGTGTAACTCCTACTCATACGGAGTGCGAGCCGTGATCCAGTGTCTTCCTGCTTGGTTCCGGTTCGTGCAGTGTCTGCGCCGTTACCGCGACACCAAACGGGCTTTCCCTCACCTTGTGAACGCTGGGAAATACTCCACTTCCTTCTTTGTTGTCACCTTTGCTGCCCTATACAGCACACATAAAGGTAGATATTAGTACACAACACGTGTGGTGTTCAATACACAGACAGCTAAGCTTAAACATGCTTTTATTGGAGAAAGACCTTTATTTATCATTTTCACTTATGGTAGTTTCATAATTTTACATAATTTTGTAAAAGGTCTTCCTGTTTTCGGAGCCCCCTTCTGTTTTTAATTTCCCATTTCCGTTTTTCTAATTTAGCACAGGAGAAATACCCAAATAGATGGCAATAGGAAACACACACAAATAATACAATAATCATACAGAAATATAAATTAATTATATAAATAAATAATAAGAACAACAAAAAAAGTGTTTTGGTCCCATTACATCAGTGTTTCTCAAACCTTACCAATAATAAAACACTTGCGGACCACCTAACTCCACAAATATCTAAAATCACATAGTTTTTCTAGAACAGATTACAAACTGCCTGAAAATGGTACAAACAAGTGGCAACATGTGTGATGAAGGTGTTGCGCTGGGCTATATCATGCAATTTAATTAAATTAATTATTTATTTATTTCAAATGTGAAATGTTACCAATATACTCACGGACCACTAGGGGGCGGTCACGGACCACCAGTGGTCCTTGGACCACACTTTGAGAAGCACTGCATTACATGTTGTGTGGTGCCACCTAGTGATGGTTTGTGGTTATATGTTTTTCAAAAGAAATCAGCTTTGCAATATATTTTGAGAAACCTTAATTTCAGAAAACTCATGCAACAGCAGAGTCATTTCCTACTCCGTGCCCTGAATACAAAACAAATATTCCCTGTCACACTAAAAAGGCCTTTTTATTGAAGTTCGGCCGTCCTGCAGCTCAAAGAACGTTTTTCTTCACATTTCTGGGAGGGTATGAGTCCATCTCAATGAAACAGATTACGCATATCACGCCCCACACCATGACTCCATGTTGTGCAAAGGTGTGCTTGTGCTGTTATTATATCATTAATTAATTAATATTATCAGGTGTCTGAATTGTAATTCTTTCATCGCTTATTTACTTAAACATGTTTGCCACTCATCACATCTACAGCTAACAATTCTATATGACCACTGAAGCCGTAGACAATGGGAACAAAAGTCCAAAACACACTGACAGCAATATGTTATTGCTAGGGGTGTAACAGTTCACAAACATTTCGGTTCGGTACGTACCTCGGTTTTTAGGTCACGGTTCGGTTCGGTACGTTTTCGATACAGCAGAAAAAATTATCACAAAACATAACATATATATATTTTTTTTTAATTATTATTAAACTGTGAATAATGTATTCCCTCAAATAAATATAATAAAATAAACATTAAGGTGCAGCATTTCGATGAACTGAAATAATCTGTATTTGAACTATACTGTACTAGTACCTAAGCAGCCAGCTTGACATTAGGACTTGCTTGTCATTGTATTTTCATGTTTTTTTAAAGAAAGATGAACTTGTCCACATTGCTTGCTGAAAGGGCAGATCTGCTGGCACTAACAATGTCTCCTGCTGTGGAGAACACCCTCTCTCTAGGGACAGAGGTAGCCGATACAGCCAGGTAGCGCTTTGCTAACATGGCAACATAAGGATACTTGGCGTTTGTAATAGCTTTGGCTCGGTCTGATCTTTCTGCGAGTGGTGGAGGCTTACATGCTAGCGGGAGTTGGGTTTGCACTTCAGTCTTTTTTCTTTTGGTACCGGTGATATTCACGTTCGGGTGATGCCTTTTCAAGAGTGTGCAAGTTTGATGTATTGCCACCCGCCGCGTAACCAATGTTAGTTGAACAATGCCGACAAACAGCTTTGGTTCAGTCCACCTGTCTTTGTCCGTCATCCTTGTACGTAACTGCGAAACCAAAATGTTCCCAAACCGGAGACTTCAATGATGCTGGAGGATTTTCGAGCTCAACTTTATCTGCGTTCGCCATTTCGACAGTTCCTCAAATTACTGACTAAATTTGAACGCATCCCTGTGACCAGCTCTCATAGTATGCCTCTCGTCCAATGAAATGACTTGGTCGCTCTATGACGCGTTGAACCCAATGTGAGCAAATTACTCTGAATGCTACAACGCAGCACCTGAGATTACTTCCAAGAAGTTGTTCACGTTCTCAATTTTTTACGTTTAACGTTATATTCGTTCGGTACACTTCGGTACACATGTGTACCGAACCGAAGGGCCCGTACCGAATAATTTCGGTACGGGTACGTGTACCGTTACACCCCTAGTTATTGCATACATAATATAGTTTATTTCTCACTTGTGCTTCAGCACACTTGTTTGGACATTGTATATTAGTATAGTATAAGTATAAGTATATTTTGCTGTCATGTAGAACAGCAGGTTAGCAGATGTATGTAGAGGTTAAAGGCTTGAGATGGTTTTTCATGGTCCTGCTTATAGCTGTCTTCTTTTCATTAAGTACAAATACAATAGTCTGCTTTATCAGAAATCAAATAGGACATGCATTGCCATTTTTAAACGTATAAACCTGTTGCTGTGGAAGCTGTCTGATACCACCCCCCCTCTGTCTCTCCTCAGCTGAAGGCCACGCTGACACACAGATCTTCCTCTACCTGTATATCGGCTGTTTGGTGGTCAGCTCCTGTTACACACTGATCTGGGATCTGAAGATGGACTGGGGCCTGTTTGACCGGAACGCAGGAGAGAATACCTTCCTGAGAGAGGAGATAGTGTACCCACATAAGGTATCTCCTCACAGGAGGAGGCGCGAGTCCCTGACAATATAACCCATCCTGTGATGATGTGTTAAAACTGCTGTCCTCCTCATCCTCTCTCCCCCCAGGCCTATTACTACAGTGCCATAGTGGAGGATGTGCTGCTGCGCTTCTCCTGGATTCTGACCGTGTCCCTCAGCACAGTCTCTGGGCTGCACGGCATCTCTGACATCCTGGCCACTGTGCTGGCCCCAATGGAGGTCTTTAGGTAGACACAGTCATCATATCTTTAAAGATTTCTGTCTTCACCCTTTTTCTTTTCTTTTGCCTCTTTCTTTCTTAATCTTGCAATTATTCTTACTGGTCCATTATTCAGTAAACGGTCTGAATGTTTCCTAGAGCCCTAATCACTTGTATTGTCTGATCAAACTTCCAAAGCCCAAGATGTCTTATCTTTTCCATCTGATCTGATTTCCTGTCAAGTAATGACCAATGTACTCTCTCAATCAGAAGAAAATATTACCGCCTGCTGATACAGTATGTGACTTTGGTTCAGGATGTGGACCACTTTTACTCAATAATGTTACAAATATTTAGTAAGTAGCCCGTTTTTTATTGACAGTCAGTGTTTGTACTTCGCAGACGTTTTGTGTGGAACTTCTTCCGATTGGAGAACGAACACCTGAATAACTGTGGTGAGTTCAGGGCCGTCAGAGACATCAGCGTGGCTCCGCTCAACGCAGACGACCAAACGCTGCTGGAGCAGATGATGGACCAGGAGGACGGGGTCCGGAACCGGCAGGGCAAGAAGAACTGGAAGAGGAGCTACAGCATGAGTCTACGCAGGCCGAGGCTGGCCTCTCAGTGAGTCCAACAACACTCAGCAACATGGGGGGGGACCTTAGAGCTGGAGGGGGCGTGGTCAGAGCGTCAGGGAGGTCAGCCTGTATGCAGCTGATTTTTGGACATATTGATGTTTATTCAGGATGTAGGCAGGTGAACCGTAAAGAATGCTGCTGCAGTATCAGGTCTGGATGAAGGCATGGATCAGGATGAGGGAGGACGCTCCTTAGGGGGGAGATCTGGTCTTCATGAGGGAGTTAAAGTGACGGTCGTGAGTGGACAATGGAGCCGTCAGTGTTGGTGAGGGCGTCAGGGTTCAGTCGGGGTTTGTTAAAACTAAAATGCAAATCAATAAAGATTACCGTGTAGTTGTTAGGAAATAGAGAGAAAAGGAGAAGAGAGGGTGCAGTAATGGGGGGCGGGGGCGGGCAGATATTTTGTTGTTGTCACAAGCCACTCGGCACCCATTTGACTTGTACCTTCATATCAACACATTCTGCCTCTTTCCCATTCCAGATCCAAGACCCGGGACACCAAGGTTCTGATCGAGGACACAGACGATGACTCCTGACATCAGGCCACGCCCCTCGCCTGGGTCCAGAATTTATTTAAAGGAGGAAACTCCACCTCCTAACCGAGAATTCACCCAGCGAGTCGGGCGTAGAACCCTCCACCAAGAGGGATTCTAAAGCTACGAGATATGAGCCTCTACATGGTTCACTACTGTTTGAAGTATTTCAGCGGAGCAACACCCCCGCACCACGGCCATCAATCTATTTCTCCCACATTCAATAATAACTAGGGGGCTCCTCACTGAGCATCTACCTTATCGCAGCAGTGGGTGAAGAACTTCTCTTCCTTTCATCCACACCCCCCAGAGGTGGACCTATAACTACACCCACTGCTCAGCCTTTGCTTGGGCTGTGAGTCTGAGCTGAGGACCAACAGGCCTCTGACAGGAAGTGTTCCTGCTTCCAAAAGCTTCAGTGATTGGTCTCCACCTGCACCACACCTCATGAGAGCAGAGTGGACTTGTAAATTGGCCTCTTTTTTCCTATAAGAGAAAATAGTATAAGTCCCACCCCCCCTTTCAGCGACTTTTAGCCACCCCGGCCGACAGACTGCTGGGGAACATTTGTGAGTCTCCCTCACTCTTAAGCTTCCCTTCAAATCATCACAGAGCTGCCTACCTGCACCTTACACGCTTTAGAAACACACACACACACACACACACACACACACACACACACACACACACACACACACACACACATATTTAGAAAGATGCACTTTGTAGATGTGAATTGAAATGGACTTTGTTCACACAGACTTTGGTGTGTTGTATTGTTCATGGATGTGCACAACTTGACCATTCATCTTTTTGAGACCCATGGAAGAAGAAATACTCCCAAAGCGTTGCAAATATTTGTAACCGTGGTTTTAAATACGAGACGGACCAAGTTAGGGAGCAGTATGAAAGTACTTAGAAAATAACATAGTACATCCTGTTCAGACTGCATGGACCAGCGGCCGTGAGCTGAGAGGAACCTTTCTTTTGTTTCCAGAAGAAAGATGAAGACCTGCGCTAACTCCATGTTGATAAAGTATCCTTCATTTAAAAAATGCTTTTACTGAATGTATGCCAACCTATTTATGTATGTATGAGTGGGAGAGGTGCCTAAATACCACCAGTCCACGCTTTCGGGCCCATTACCATCCTGAGAGCTCCGATGAGTTCTAGGAACATTTTCTGTTGCGCCCTGCCGTGTCGATGAAGCCTGAAACAGTTATTGTCTCCTGGGAGAGTTGCAATGTGCTGACGAAGAAAAGGGGAGCGCACCTGTCTGTCACATGCTGGTTCAAACGGCTTCTTCTGGCTGTGGAGTGAATGTGTTTACATGAGATGCATGCTAATATACCTCAGTTCCCTTTAACACTCCGCTTTGCTCCTAACACATAATGTTGGTTGAAATAAATAAGGTTTTTGTCATTTTAATGTATGTTCAGTGTAAATGTGGTATTTAACACATTTAGTCAGTCTACAGTAAATTCTCCAATAGTGGCTCTGGCCTTAATGACCTGTATTAGAGACAGTGTTGCATTCCTAAATGCGAAACACAGTATCGTGTTGGCTTCCACAGAACAGTCACTCTGCTACTTCCTGCCCGTTCTCTAACATGCATCCCAGACCTTTCAGCTTGTTGATGTTACTGACTGCTGTTACTGTTACTGTCCCCCCCCCCCCCCCACACACACAGCTACATTAAAGCATCTTCTTCTGTATAATAAGGACAGGTAGGCCTACATGTGATAACACTGGAGGAAATGTTTCTAAGAGAGTGAGTTGTTGCCACACTAACGCTCGTGCTGTGCTCTGAGACAACAGCTTGAAGCAGTGGAGGAGCTTTGGCTTTTTATTTTTCTTCTCTCTGTTTAAATGAATCTGTTTGTCCGTTTGCAAACATAGGCTTAGTCGGTTGAATTAAGCTCCAAAAACTTTATTTATAACCGCCACAAAAAATGGTATACTGTTTGACAAAAGGGAAACAGTATAACTTAAATAAAATCAAAGTTTACCAAATGAGGTTGTCTATCCCTCTAAACACATCCTAGCTGTTGCCTTCACTGCAACAATCTCCCGAATGACTCTTCCAGGGCCAACACCGTCCCCTTTGAACCCAAAGCCCCTCCCCACAGGCTTACCGTCAACAGGTTACACAATTAACTCGTTTTCCACATTCCCTTTGCTGGGGAGACGGCGGCGAAACTCCGTTCGCTGCCCGTCACGTAAGTATCGTGTAATATAGTTAAATGTATGTTTAAATATTTGTAGACTCACACGCGTGCACTCATGGTCGCGCTACAGAAAGGGAGCGGGAAAAGGGACGTTTTAGTGATGATTTCATCTTGTTGACCAACGGAAGAGAGCAGGAAATGTGTGTGTGTGTGTGTGCGCGCGCAGAACAGTCTCATAATACACACATGCACACTGAAGGACTCACACTTGTATTTCCGGATCCACACTTGTGTTTTTCAATGCACACACAAATGTGTTCCGTTTCATATACATGTAAATCAAATCCAAATACATTTCTTGCGTTCATGACACTTCATGTAGGCCTACGTATTTTGCGCAGTCCTGTCAGCTCGCTAAACAGAGGGCGGAGCTTCAGGTGATCATGCAGAGCAGCGTGTCTCCATCAGACTCAGCAGCTGATCTGATCTCTCTCTCGCGTCCGGTTATACTTCACTCGCGTTTATGTCCATATCGATCAGATCCAGCTCTCCTGATCAGCCTTTATAGAGAGCACCGATCAAACTATTAAGAGTGAATATCGGCCGATAATGACCGGCGGGGCTCCCCCCCGTTAACAGGTCACTGTCGAGCACTGGCTTCGTAGTGCACTGATCGATTAGCTAACCTGTAGCTGCTCCCTCCACACTCACAACAACTTCATACAGACATAAATACAGCAGCTGTATTCGCCACACAGGAAACACACATTTAAAACGGTTTTGCCTGCCGTTTTTGTGTACACAAGCATTCATCAATGGTTCGGAAAGTGGCGCTGTACCTTAATAATATAAAGGCTTGTATTTGCGTGCATTTCCTGTTCGGAAAGTGGCGCTGTACTGAGAGTGGAGGGTGTCCTGAGATTAGCGCCTGCAGGCAGGCTCCATGGAGCTGTCAGCTCCGGACTGCGCAAAATGCGTACATGAAGTGCTACGTCATGAACGCAAGAAATCTACCCTCGTGGGGGCGCGCTCTTGTGATTGGCTTAGAATTGAGGAGAAATCTGATTGGCTATAGTTGGAAAAAATTACAAGTACGAATCGGCTGACCGTCAGGGGAGTCTCAAAAAACCCACACACGAATGCACAGCGATCCGTGCACAGAAAGCGGTTTGTGTTTGCAGGTTCAGGGGATTTAAACGGAAAACTAATAAGTGAGGATAAAAAATACACATGTAAAACATTTTTCTGTATTTGGATTTTATTTACATGTATATGAAACGGAACACATTTGTGTGTGCATTGAAAAACACAAGTGTGTGTGTGTGTGTGTGTGTGTGTGTGTGTGTGTGTGTGTGTGTGTGTGTGTGTGTGTGTGTGTGTGTGTGTGTGTGTGTGTGTGTGTGTGTGTGTGTGTGTGTGTGTGTGTGTGGTGTGTGTGTGTGTGTGTGTGTGTGTGTGTGGTGTGTGTGTGTGTGTGTGTGGTGTGTGTGTGTGTGTGTGTGTGTGTGTGTGTGTGTGTGTGTGTGTGTGTGTGTGTGTGTGTGTGTGTGTGTGTGTGTGTGTGTTGCAGCGTGTGGAGTCAGTGAGGCTGAATGGACTGAGCTGATCTCATCAGAAGCTGACTCTTTAATGCTCCCACTGTTCTTGTGACAGTCTGTCGTTCCGAACCAGGAGCTGCTTAACGTCTAACGTTCGTCATCTTGATTCAGTGCTTCATTCATCAGTGATGTTAAACACTGGAGCCTGTTATCAGCCAATGGGATATCGTTGAAAGGTTAATACGTTGAAAAGCCAATCATTAACAGAAAACTAATGATTGAACTCTCACTATTGTGAAGGTCTTTATTTTCCTATTCAGTTCATTTGAGAAATAACCTTATCATAACTGCTTTGATCTCTCACTGCAACATTCCCATTTCCTCTCCACTCTTCTTATTGTGCAAGATGGACAAATATGTGACATTCTACATGAAGTGGAACAGTGTCCAGTATGTCATGGTTAATATGAAATACAATGTTTTGGTAAATAGTAAAAACCAAGCAATATTTGATAGGTGAAGTTCTGGCTTCTCAGCAGAGGGGAAAGGCCAATTAGAAAGAGTACGGGATGAGAGGCAGCTGATCACATGTGTGCAACACATCATATAACTCAAATACTCAAACCTTCTTAGTCATATGATCTTTGCCACTAAACAGCATCTTTAGGGTTCTATCACTTGCTTCGTAACACACACATCTTTGTTGTGTTTTTGCTGCATCTTGATAATCTGCTCCGTCTTACCCGATAGCCTCTTGTCCTCTAGAGTACGAACAAAAACATTTTCTCCAGTTTAATGGTGGAATTTGTTTAACCTTCACGTATCCATGGTGACCAAAAGTGGTGATCTGAAGTGAGCTTGACAAAGAAAAAGTGGATAATATTAAATGAAAGCATGATCCATTTGAAAGACTAACATCTTCGGTCTTGAAAAGGTCTTTTAAATCGGTCCCAGCTCCCTGGTTTCACTTTGTCTTGGCTGGACAGAGAAGCAGAGGTTTTTTTCTACCTTCCCTTTTTGTTACACACTCAGGGTTTCTCACACACACACACACACACACACACACCAAGTAACTAGCTTTGAATTAGGGCCGTTGCTTTCTGTTTTCTGAAATGTCCATGCAGCAGACAATCATTCCATGTACACATGATATGCTGTGCTTTCATTCAGGTGTTATGTTGGGGGGGGGGGCATTATGAGCACCTGAGCCTTCTAATTCACATCACCTTCTGTTCTGTTAGCAGCCCTTATTTTATGATTGTTCCATTTCAAACCTCACCTTTTGGAATGTGTTTGTTCCTCGCATGAATACACCGAAGGACCCTCCAGAAAGAGTTTCACTTAGTTTGTTATTATGTTGAATTGGTACATTTCCAACAGGATGCTCCTCTGATAGCAGAGCCGGGCTGTTTCTGATGAACTTCACATCCTGGACGGGCTGACTGTGCCCTGTGAAGGCCTTATTTGTGTCTTTTGGTTTTCTTTATCTACATTCCAGATGATGACCTTCTGTCCCATTACCCATGAACACCACACTGCGTTTATGTTGAGATGTTTGACAATGTGACCGAGAGGTGAATCCCCTTTTTCTGAAAGGATGGTAATAAAAGTGTGCAAAATGATAGCTGAGCATGCTGGAAATGAAGTCCGAGGCCTCCGACTTTATGTTTCTTGTGTTCAGAAGGAAGTGAAGCATGAGTTGCAGCTGCTGACACGTGAATAAAGTCTTATTATGAACTCTGACATTGGAAAGCCATGGTGAATAGAATCACATCTTTTCTATCAGATATATTTTATTATGTATTTTTATTTTATTTGAATTTTGTATCATCTTTAAACTCCAAGTTCATTCATCCTAAGCAAATTGACCCTTACTTAAAATGAGTGTTTCCCCCCTGTTCCCTCCCCCACAGTGAGGTGTGCCCAAAAGGATATTATGAATCAATACATTAAACAAGTTCTGTATATGCCACTTAAAAACGAATGTGCTTCTTACGGAGGGCGTGTGGGGGGGGCTCGTCCTGCATTTCTTTAGTCTAATGCTGTGGCAGAAACTCAAAAATACTCACTTGATTGGCTGGATGTTCAGATGTGTAGTTTATAGTGAAGCCGTCATTAGGATTATAATTGAGTGTTATGATTGGATGCAGAGTGTTTAGAACGTTCAGAGCACAGCCTCAAACACAAGTAGACGGTCTCCCATGGATGTTCAGCAACCCCCATGACCAGTCCTCCTCTTCTGTTGAATACACACCAGTCATCTTCCCAAGTCTTCACTAGACAGGATTTATTTAGAACATGTTTTACTGATCAGAAGCTGAAAGCTCTCCTGGGGGAACAGAGAGTAGCGTCTGAGAAACAAACCTGGGTTAAAATCTCTGACGTCCATGTCGTTGAGGCAAAACCTAATACATTTGATTTAAAAAAGCAAACAAAATGTGACGATCAGTTTCCTGTTTCCTCCATGTTCCAGAATCAGATAGCAGAATGTTCAGTAGTGAATAGAGAGTATTTTGTTCCACATTCTGACCCCACTATGACCCACTATACTGGCACCTTGCCGGTCCTCAGTAAGAAGTGCCGGTACCACATGGGTAAAAATCAGAAGTGCCGGTACTGTGTACCGGTCAGTACCGGCCCAATTCAAGCACTGAATATATACATATGTACACATGTACTTGGCAAATGAATAATAATTTATGCATATAATAATACACTGAACAAAAA